CTGATGTGATTTTGTTCCTATTGACATCTTCATGGCTTTATCTAAAAACCATGGCCCTTCTTGAAATCCGTTTGCCCTCAGTCCTACAAGTCCAGTCTTCCTACCTAGATCTGGCTACAAAAAAAATACTCCCCCTTTAAGCTATACAGGTTCTTAATGGTCTGTTGCAGCATTTGGTTTTCCAACTCGTAAACAGTGAGCTCTCAATGGAGACTGCATTTTACACTGCTAGCTCATCTGAAAGATACAAATCAGCGAGGATGTGGGAACTGGGGAGGTTCCTTCTCTGTATCACCTTCGCACTCGCAATACTCTGCAGGTTTCACTTTGGGAGATTAAAAATATCTTGAGACCCTTCACAGGGATATAATCCGAGAAGAACGGATAACCAGTGAAGGGAATTCATCCAGTTTGATATCATTACAGGCAGCCACAAGGTGGAATTGTCCAGTTTTATGAAGTTGCAATAGTTATTTTAGAATCTAGGACAAATTAGCAAACATAATTCCCATCTTATCTGGCAGCACCTGTGAAGAAAATATCAGAGCTAATGTTTCGGGTCCAGTGACCCTTCCTGGCTTCCCCACTCTACCTTCTTTGTTTTATTAATATGATTTTTAAAAAATAAACACAGTTCTATTTAAGGGAGACTGACATAACGGGATGATAGGATGCGATAGAGAATGGAGGGGTCTCTGGTCATTACTTTTGAACATGGGAGATACTCCGTGGGGGTGAGGGGTTAGGATTTCATGAAGAGTTAACGCTGAGTGATGTAGAATGGGGCAGTTAAATAAAATGATTAATGTATGGGGTAGCACGGTGGCTCAGTGATTAGCACTGTTGCCTCACAGCGCCAGGGACCTGGGTTTGATTTCACCCTTGGGTGACTGTTTGGAGTTTGCACTTTCTCCCGTGTCTGCATGGGTTTCCTCTGAGTACTATGGTTTCCTCTCACAGTCCAAAGATGTGCAGGTTAGGTGGATTGGCCATGATAAATTGTCCAAAGTATGCAGGCTGGGTGGATTAGCCATGGGAAATGCAGGGTTACAGGAATAAGGTAGGGGCTAGGTCTGTGTGGGATACTCTTAAGAGGGTTGGTGCAGACTCAATAGGCTGAATGGCCTGCTTCCACTCTATAGGGATTCTCTGTGAGTTACTGAATTACAGTTTATCTTGGCGTCCAAATTTAAAGAAAATGTGCTTTGTTACATTCTTGTTGAAAAAAAAACTTTTGTTTAAGACAGAATGTCCAGAAAGTGAGATAAGCAAAGAAATCTGGGACTAACAGTTGGTTAATTTCACCTTTGAACTAGCTTTCATATTTGAACACTATGAATGCCATTTTACTGAAGGAAGAACAGAAATAATCCTTTTGTTAAATATAAAGAACAAGGCTGTTCTAAAAACAAACATGAATTTACATGCAGGACCATCTCCTCCATTTCAGAACACTGTCACACTTCTCACAAAATGTTGAATATGCATTCCAATTAATTACAATATATAGACCCTACAAAAATAGTCTAATAATATAAAGGTGCACTGCTTTCCTCTTCTTAAACTACAATTTCAAAGTATGAACATTCCCATTCCCACATCCCAGCAGGAGAAACCTCCCTGTGTCCAGTTCCTTGGCAGTTTTCAGTCATTAAAGAAATATCTGCCTCCTACATTCCACTGAATTATTTGTTAATAATATTCGGACTACAAGGATAAAGTGGCACCATATAAGACATCAAAAAAGTTATAATATTTCAGATTTATCTATTCATAAAAATAAAATAAGGAAGTTATATGCAAAATCTCTTTGCTTTTTCTGTAAGGTTTCCTTTATGAACTCTACACATCTGCAGTGCAGCCATAAATTGAGTTAATATCTTTGGAAAAATTGTCTCAGAGATTAAAGGTTGCAGAGAAAAAAATAATTGAAGCTGTAACCATGAGCATGTTCTTATAATTGAAAGACCTTGGGTCACGATGGCTTCACCCCCACCCCCATGCTTTTTGAACACATACGTCTAATCCAGGTACTCACTTGCCCAAGAGTAGCTCCAGCCATCAGCATATCAATATATTGGTACATGTAACTGCTGCTGCTAATGCTAAAAATATCCAAAGTGATTCTGAAAAAAGGGTTATTAAAATGATTTCCTCAAATGTGTGCACCATTGGCAATATTGCTGAGAGTGGTATGGCCATGGTAAAACTTGCCATCTTTATTGTGTTATTGGCTTATGCATTCCACCAGCCATGATTATATCCCACAGTAAATGACCTGTTTCTTTCGTCCCTAATGTAATGTCACTAATTGTAGCATTGCCACGTGCACTTAAACAGCTATTGGTTAACCCAGCACAGAACTGGAATTGAGAATAAATAAGGATCTATTCTCTCGGGACTGAATTTTCCCAGGTGTGACTCTGTACATCTGCAGTCTTCAGTCTTTTCCCATCTGCTTTTACAGTAAATACTTCTGTCTGAAAACCCAACTCTTAAATAACTGAAACTGATACTACCCTTCACCAAATAAAAACCAAAAGAACTGCAGATGCCGTAAATCAGCAACAAAAACAAAGTTGCTGGAAAAGCTCAGCAGGTCTGGCAGCATCTGTGAAGGAAGGGTTCTGAGGAAGGGTCACCGGACCCGAAACGTTAACTCTGTTTTCTCCTCCACAGATGCTGCCAGACCTGCTGAGCTTTTCCAGCGACTTTGTTTTTGTTTTCTACCCTTCACCAATATTGTCACCTGATGAAGGGGCAATGCTTCGATAGCTTCTGATTTCAAATATAACTGATTTCTGACCTTGTCCACCCCAGTCCAACACCGGCACCTTCACATCATACTTGGATGCCCACAGCATCTCTGTCTTGCCATTTTTTTGCACTTTGCTGTCTCAGTCAGTGCTCAGAGTTTCACACGATTTCTGTCTTACCTTGCTTTTTAGTGCAGAGATAAAGTCAGCTGGCCTGCTACATCAATAATGACCATTTAAGGGAATAGACATGTTGCTGTTTGGCACCATGCAATATTAACGTCACACCTACACTATGTACCAGCAGTGCATGTGGCAACACTGTGTAAGTGCTTCAACCAAATGGCCTCCAAGGCCCATGTATGGCAACCAGGAGTCCATGATTGGTGTGCTGACATCGATCAGCATGCATAGAACATTGCACATGCAGCAGCACAGCTTAGAGGGAATATTACTGGATGACCGCCCTATCCCAGTGGCCGTCAAGGTGACAGCTGTGCTAAATTCTTATGGAACTGTATCTGTAGGATCTCTCAACCTTCAACCCACAAATGTATCAAGGCTGTTACCAATGCAATTTGTACCAAATCAGACTCCTTCATCTTGGTTCCTTGTGATGAGTCTCAGTGCTGTAGTCCAGGCTTTGCCAACATCACTAGCTTCCCCCCAAGGTGCAATGCGCCATATCATAAAGTGAGATTACCATATCATAAAGTGATGGACTCATCAATGGAAAAGAGTTCCATTCCACCCGCATCTTAGAAGTCTGCAACAGGTGCCCTGGAAGATGCCAAGATACCTATATCTTTCGGAATTCTCAGGTTCCTGCTTCAGTTCAAGGGCTAGATGCTTTACAAGGACAGATGCTGGGAGATAAGGGTTATGCTCTGTAACCATGGTTCATGACCTTACTATGTAAACCTTCACAGAAGCTGAGCAATGCAGTTCATTCTTCCACCAAGGCCAACATGGAGCAGAGGAGAGCCTTCCTGTACATCAAGTTCTGATGGCTTGGATCAGTCTGGACTGGCCTTCCAGTACAGTCCAGACAGAGGATCCTTCAAAATCCTGTTATGCTACAACTGTAGCAGGCAAAGAAGAGATGTAATAGATGCTTAAGAGCTGGGACAGGTTCCAAGGGGAATATTGAGCAAGAAGAACATCAACTTCACCGTGATAGAGTGCTGCAGTGTCAGGCATAACAAGCCAGAAAGTATTTAATTGACTAGGTCTGAGATGGGTGAAGTCATCATTCATCGACTGTAAATCTGTTGTTCCTGGAAAGGGAGGCAACCCTTGTTTAGTCCCAGCAGCAAATGCAGCATTTTTCACTGTTCTTTATTCGCTTTTTCCATTACTAATATTAACATTTATTAAACAGCTACTTGAAGGCATTACAACATGTTATACTCCCACAGCAAGATGTGCTACATTGGCTGTTAGAGAAACAGCAGTGACACTCAGGATGGATAACCTCCACAGCTTCATGCTTGTAGCTGCAGCTACAATAACAGTCAGCCCAACAGATGATGATGCAAAGTATTTATGAATGTGAAAGTCAATTTCCAATGCACTGTTACCGGTGCCAGCTATGTGGCCTTAGAAGCTTTTTATTTTTCCTGCTACCCGCACTGTGAAGGGGTATTCCTGAACGGCAGTGTTTGACCTGGTACTCAGCTGGGTTTTAGCTATGCTTTCCTTTGGACGGAAATGATCCTTGGAAAATTCTGAAGTTTTGCAAGCTCAGTTACATGCGAATAAAAGTACCTTCCACCCTTCCTATTTATAGGAGTATCCTTCAAAAGCAATCAAAGTTATCAAATAAATTCCTAACTTATTTTATCGATCTTGCAATTAGTTAGGGATAGAGGTTTCCTTGTCTTGAAGTAACACCAAATCGTTAAAGTTTTGTATCAGAGATAGTAGGAACTGCAGATGCTGGAAAATCTGAGAATCTGAGACAACAAGGTGCAGAGCTGGATGAACACAGCAGGCCAAGCAGCATCATAGGAGCAGGAAGGCCTGCTTGGCCTGCTGTGTTCATGCAGCTCTGCACCTTGTTGTCTCGTTAAAGTTTTGTGTTATTTCCCGCAGGCAAAGTGCACACAGCCTCTGTACAAATGGAATGCATTCTGTCGTCAGGGTGTGTTACAGTGTTGGGTGTTTTCTTTCTTTGCCATTTCAGCGAAAATAACATCTCCATTTGCAAAAAAGGCGTTGTAGGTAGTCTCGATCCCGCTGTTGAACAAATGCCAGGCTTAGACCCCTCCCCGCCATTTCCTGACAGATACGAGGCTGCATTTAGCCTCTCGACTGCCTCAAGTTGTCTCAGGTTCCTGTATCTGGTTATTCCTGTAAGACGCTGCAGCCATTCAGACTCTTTAAAGTTGCAGAAATCAGTGTCTTCTGCAGAAGGGATCTTTTGAGTGAGTCTCGCTACAGGATGTCAGCAGGTGAGAACGTTCTCCTGTCCCTCTCCACAGCCTGTCTTTGTTAGAGAGCAGGAGCTGAGCTATCCCTTTGTGACACCTCTGATCCCAGTGCAGTGTGTGTCTGTGTATGTGCGTAGGGATCTGCTTGTGTCAATGGCAGCTGCTCCTGCAAATGCTGCTTTGACTCGCTCGGCTTTACACTGGCAGGCCCTGACTGGGTCAGTTGCGAATAGAGTTTGTGCAGAGCTCGGTAAATGCTGAGTCAGAGTTAAGGCCTGCAGGCAGTATGCATTTCTCTGACTTATAGGGATACAAAATCTTCTTTGTGCTGAATTCCCGGAGCACTGTTGCTTCTTGGACCTGCACCGCTCTCACTTTTTGGAACGGGCAATGCTGTTAACTTTCAAAGGCATAAGGATGGCAAAAAAAAAGCAACAAAGAGAGGGAGGGTTGGAACATAAGTTGGTTTTCGGCAGTTGTTTCCTTTCAGCTGGTCAGTTTGCAACACTGTGTTATCCGGGTCTTTTGGACTGTGTGGGATAAAAGTGGAACTGTTCTGATCTGGGATCATCTGAGATAAGTACAAGAGCGAGGAACATTCTCTTCAGGTTGTAGCTGTCTATGTAATGCATAATGGGTCAGGCCAGATTTAGGAAAAACTGAAGCACCAGCAGAAATGAGGAAGCTGCTTTCCATCAGAGACAATCTGAAGGTCTGATCGAACGAGAATCTCTCCGGGCTCGGTGTTCAGATAGATTGGAGAGTATGAAGTCGCTGTACTCGCACGATAGATTTTAGCGTTCCGAAAGGTTTGAAACAATCCTGCTTTAATAAACAAAATGCTGGAGCTTTTTTCAAGACAACAAGGTGCAGGGCTGGATGAGCTTTTTTCAGTTGTGTTTCCTAGATTTTCCCACGTGGTGTACCTGACCAGTAATGAGTGATGTGGGATTCTGGATATACATACACATAACTATATAGTTTCGAACTCTAGGAATTTACTAAATTCTCTTAATCTCTTAAATTTGTCAGTACATGTTACAGCCTGCCCGTTCCCGTGTAAGCAAACATTTAAAATTGTGATAAATCTTAATTATTGCCAAGCGACCTCTGTAAACGCTGACAGTAAGTTTTACAAGTGTGGAGTTTGATTCCTTCAATTTATAATGATGACAGATGCTTTTACTTTTTTTTTAATCTGTTTCATAATCTCAATTTTTTTCTTTTTTGTTTTCTGATATATAATTTGACATTGAATTAAATGTTATAATTTACACTTTCTGCTTCAGACTGCAGTGCAAATTGATGATTTGTCACTCTGATCAGTTAAAGGGATGTGCACTTGGATGTCCTGGTTACACAGATCCCAGGCCCGATGTAGGGAATATCACACTAATCTCAAATTGCAGTGTTACAATCTGGCTGCTGCATGGCCATGCACGCTCGCAGTTTAACATGAACAGTGGTATCGCTGTTATAAACTATAGTGTTAACTTTGAATAAAATAAAAACAATACTTGGAGCAACTAGAGACAACAAGGTGCAGGGCTGGATGAACACAGCAGGCCAAGCAGCATCATAGGAGCAGAAAGGCTGACGTTTCGGGCCTAGACCCTTCATCAGAAATGGGGGAGGGGAAGGGGGTTCTGAAATAAATAGGGAGAGAGTGGGAGGCGGGTAGAAGATGGATAGAGGAGAGGAGAGGTGGAGAGGAAACAAACAGGTCGAAGAGGCGGGGATGGAGCCAGTAAAGGTGAGTGTAGGTGGGGAGTTAGGGAGGGGATAGGTCGGTCCAGGGAGGACGGACAGGTCAAGGGGGCGGGATGAGGTTAGTAGGTAGGAGATGGTGGTGCGGTTTGAGGTGGGAGGAGGGGATAGGTGGGAGGAAGAACAGGTTAGGGAGGCAGGGACGAGCTGGACTGGTTTTGGGATGCGGTAGGGGGAGGGGAGATTTTGAAGCTTGTGAAATCCACATTGATACCATTGGGCTGCAGGGTTCCCAAGCGGAATATGAGTTGCTGTACCTGCAACCTTCGGGTGGCATCGTTGTGGTACTTTAGGAGGCCCAGGATGGACGCGTCGTCTGAGGAATGGGAGGGGGAGTTGAAATGGTTCGCGACTGGGAGGTGCAGTTGTTTATTGCGAACCGAGCGTAGGTGTTCTGCAAAGCGGTCCCCGAGCCTCCGCTTGGTTTCCCCAATGTAGAGGA